TTTTTTTTTTTTTTTTTTTTTTTTTTTTTGCCATCCTCCCACCTCAGCCTCTCAAGTAGCTGGGACCATGGATATGAGTTACCACAAGGATCCCTGACCCCATACTGGTCTACCGCCTGTTAGGAACCAGGCCACACAGCAGGAGGTGAGCAGTGGGTGAACAGAGTGCTGCTTCCTGTCAGATCAGCAGCGTTATTAGATTCTCATGAGTATGACCCTATTGTGAAATGCACATGCCAGGGCCCTAGGGTGTGTGCTCCCTATGAGAATCTAATGCCTGTTGATTTCCTACCCCCAATCTCTATCCATGGAAAAATCGTCTTCCACGAAATCAGTCCCTGATGCCAAAAAGGTTGGGAACCGCTGAGTTACCATACCGGGCTACTTTTAATTTTTGTAGAGACAGGGTCTTGCTATGTGGCCCAGCTGGTCTCAAACCACTGGCCTCAAGTGATCCTTCCCTTTTGGCCTCCCAAAGCACAGGTATGAGCCACCATGCCCAGCTCTTGATTTCTTCATCGCTGCCTCTACAGTGAAATATGCCTTGAAAATATGTGACAGCGCTCTATAAATATTTGCTGCATGAATGAACCAATACATAGAAATATATCAGAGAACAAGAAGGAGTACATGCTCAGAAGAAGCTTCCCTTTAAGTAGGGAAGACAAAACCAAATCAAAGAATGAGTTAGGTTCATGACCAGCCCGGGCAACTTGGTAAGACCCTTTCTCTATAATAAATCAAAAAAATTAGCCGGGTATGGTAGCATGCAACTGTTAGGCAGCTACTTGAAAGGCTAAGGCGGAAGGATCACCAGAGCCCAGCAGGTCAACACTGGGGTGGCCGTGAGTATGCCACTGCACTCCAGCCTGGACGACAGAGTGAAACTCCAACACAACAGGAAAAAAAAAAATTAGCATCAGGTCCAGATAAGTTCTATGAACCAGCTAAAATTGAGGGCTAACATTCCTCCATTTGACAACAGTCACAAGAGGAGAAAGGTGGCCAGAGAGAAGGATATTTGAGGTGGGATCTATGAAATGAGAGAGGGGTGGGCTCGTGATATCAGAGGAAAGGCATTTTAAGTACAAAGCACCGCACCTGTAAAACCCTGAAAATGGGACTGAGCCTGGCATGTTCAAGGGACCGAAAAAAAGAGGCCACCAGGGCTAGAAAGTAGAAAGGGGAGTGAGGGGAAGGTGGAGTCAGTAAATATAGCGCTAGCCTTACAGAGCTGTCCTGGGGATTAACTGGGTTAATATACATAATAGCTGCTCAGGGGAAATCATAATTGAGTTAACTAGCCAAAAAAAAAAAAAAGGAGAAAACATTTTTCTGGGCAAGAAACAGCATGTACTAGAATTCTAAAGTGGGTAAGAAGAATCATGATGAATACACGGAAGGAGGAAAGGCCAGATAAACTGCTGCGTAGATAGACCAAGGCAGGAGAAGCAAGGCACATGGCTAGTGAGATCAGCAAGGTCCAGGACCTGTGGAACCCTGGAGGCTTTGACAAGAATTAGATTTTGTCCCAATGGCAACAGGGAGCCACTGAAGAATTTTGAGTAGAGCAATAATCCAATCTGACATATGTTAAATTACCCATGAGGGTGTGGTGGCTCACGCTTGTAATTCCAGCACTTTGGGAGGCTGAGGCAAGAGGATAGCTTGAGCCCAGGAGTTCAAGACTGGCCTAGGCAACATAAGGAGACCTCATCTCTACTCAAAAAACAGAAAATTAGCTGGTCGTGGTGGTACATGCCTGTAGTTCCAACTACATGGGAGACTAAAGCAGAAGGATCACCCGAGCCCAGGAAGTCAAGGCTATGGTGAGTTGTGATTTATGCCACTGCTCTCCAGCCTGGGCGACAGAGTGAGACCCTGACTCAAAAAAACAAAGTCAATGAAATATTACTCATGCTACTATGTGGAGAACAGGCTGCAGTGGGGAAAGGCCAAGAAGAGGCAGGAAGGCCAGTGGGGAGGCTTCCCCAGTGATCCAGACAAAAGACAAAGGTGACTGGAACCATACAGAGAGGACAGCTTCAAGAGATATTTAGGAGTTAAAAGGTTGAGACTTGGAAATGGGTTGGAAGTGAAGGAATTCAATAAGACTCCTAGGTTTCTGGTTTAAGCTATGCGGGTCTGAGGGAGGAGGGGTTGGGGCCTGAACACCCAGGTCTGAGGAAGGAGGGTCTGGGGCCTGATGGTGATGCTCCTTCTGGTAGCAGGAGAGCTTTGGGGAGCAACAGGCTTTGAGGGCAACATCAGGGACTCTATTTGAGGGTGTCTTCTGCAGGTGGAAACATCAAGGGGACTGTCAGAAATCTGAGGAGGTCTGGGCTCCCATCTCACACCCTCAGCACAGGGCCCTGCACTGTTACAGCTCTGTCCGTAAATATAGGAGCCACATTCACCCAGGTATGTGTGGGGTATGTTGCACTGCCTCCTATCCAACTTACTAGGAGTCACCTTCAAAAATAAAAGAAACCAGAGTTGAAACACATTTTTTATTTTAGGAATGGGAATAGGACAAGGAAGGAAGGAAGAGATACCTTTGTTAGTTGGCACTGACATACCATCGAAAGAACATCCTATGGAAACAAGGAGGCACATGTGTTAGAGAAGAGAGTGGGGACCAGAAATCTAGGTCCTGGAAGCCTGCAGGCCTGGGTCCCCAAGGTGGACAGGGTCTGGACTCTGGGGAGGAGGGGCTGGGGCCTGAACTCCTGGTTCAAGGGAGGAGGGGCTAGGGGGCCTGGACTTCCGAGTCTAAGGGAGGACGGGCTGGGGGGGCCTGGACTCCCGGGTCTGAGGGAGGAGGGGCGGGGGCCTGGACTCCCGGGTCTGAGGCAGGAGAGGCCGGGGGCCTGGACTCCCGGGTCTGAGGGAGGAGGAACTGGGGCCTGAACACCTGGGTTTGAGGGAGGAGAGGTTGAGGACCTGGACTACAGGGTTGAGGGAGGAGGGGCTGGGAACCTGGACTCGCGAGTCGGAGAGAGAGGTTGGGGCTTGGATTCCCGGGTCCGAGAGAAGAGGGGCTGGAGATCTGGACTCCCGCATCCGAGGGAAGAGGGGCTGTGGGCCTGGACTCTTGGGTCCGAGGGACGAGGAGCTTGGGGCCTGGACTCCGAGGTCTGAGGAAGGAAGGGCTGGAGGTCTGGACTTCCGGGTCTGATGGAGGAGGGGTTGGAATTTGGACTCCTGGTCCGAGGAAAGAGGGGCTAGGGGCCTGGACTCCCGGATCCGGGAGTGGAGGGAGGAGGGGCTGGGGTCCTGGACCCCTGGGTCTGAGGTAGGAGGGGGCTGGGAGCCCAGGCATTCGGATATGAGAGAGCGGGGAGCTGAATGCTGGAATTCCGGGGTCCCAGGGACTCACCACGCCATTAGGGTCGCACTTGCTGATGCCAGGGCTGCAACGGCCGCAAGCAGGAACAGGTTGCTCGGCGTCAAAGCGTCGGGCCTGGCCAGCAACTCGCCCAGGCTCGGCCTCCAGGGTTCGACCAACTCCGCGTCCCGCGGCCCCCAGCGCAGCACTTCCCGGAACGTGACTTGGAGCTCTGTCTCCCCGCGCGGGGGCGGGCCCGTCACTGCAGGGCGCGCACGTCAGCCGAGCAAAGCCCCGCCCCCGCGCAGCCCCGCCCTTCGTTCAGCCCCGCCCCTCCCGCACCGTTAAGGAAAAAGTAGAGCCGCGCCAGGGGACGCTGGTCGTGCTCGATCACGCAGGAGAAAGTCCCGCGGTGCGTGGGCTGCGCCGGCCGGATCCGCGCCAGGTGCCCTTCGGCCCGCGGCAAATCTCGGAAGTAGGACTGGTCCTGAGTCCGGAGCTGGGGGACACTCGGGTTGAAGCGGCTGGAGGAGCGGGGTCCCACTGGACCCCAAGTTCTACGCTCTCAGCGCGGATTCTTCCTTCACTGACTTACAAGCTCCGCCCCCGAGCCAGGCCACGCCTCCTGGAGCCTTGGCCCCACCCTTCATTCTTTATTCGCCAATCCTTTACACACGACCCCGCCCCCTGAGTCCGAGACTCGCTCTCCCGCCCTAAGCGGGACATCAAGGGGGAGAGCTTGGTGGGTCTCAGGTCCTTAAGAGGCCAATAAGAGTCCCAGAGAAAAGTAAGTAAACCAGGTATTGCTCACACACCTCATCGAAGGTGGGTCTAAGAGCCTAAGCAAACCAAGAGGAATCCTAGAGGGCAGAGAATGGTGAGAGGCAGCCCAGGACAGCAGGGAGGATTTGCCTTCCCCACTCCAAACCCTTACGCCTAACCTACAATTGAGCCCTAGTTCTGCATTCTGATCCCCGACCTCTCCCCTAGATCCCGTGACCTTTCCCTTCCGCGATGCCTGTATCTAGACCGAGCTCCACGAAGTCTCACCCCCTGCATTCTGACTTCCCATCCTCTAGGGAAGTATAATCCTCCAGTCTCAACCCTTCACGCCGGCCCCGCCCCGACTCACACCTCCTCCAGCGAACTTCCAGGAGTAGGTGATCTCCTCCTTTGGCAGCTGGAATTTCACGACACAAGAAAACATCGCCTGGTCACCTCGAGTCACTGTCACGTCTTGAACTGAAGACACAGCCAAGTCACTCTCTCGGGCCCGCCCCCACCTGGCCTCGGAACCCTCCCTCAAGCCCCTCTCCTTCCCAGCTCAGGTCTCCCTTTTCCAGGTCGTCAGGTCCCCGGCCCCCCTCACCTGGGCAGTCCAGCGGGAGGTCGCAGACCTTGGAGTAGCACCCGCCGCAGCGGAATCGCCGGGCGACCTCCTGGAGACCTGTGGGGACGGGAACTCTGGGTCTGGACTCCATCCGCCTTCCTCAGCCCCAGGCCCTTTGGCCAATTTGAGATCTATTCGGCCTCCCTGAATTCTAGCGGCCAGGAAGACTCTTAACCCCGCTCTCCCTGCTCTCCTGGGTTGCCTCTCACCATTCTCTGCCCTCTAGGATTCCTCTTGGTTTGCTTAGGCTCTTAGACCCACCTTCTATGAGGTGTTTGAGCAATACCTGGTTTACTTACTGTTCTCTAGGACTCTTATTGGCCTCCTAAGGACCTGAGCTACCAAGCTCTCCCCCTAGGGTTCCTTCTAGCCCGCCTCTCTTTTCCCGCAGTTCTTACGTTTAGATAAGTCCTTACCGCAGGGAGGGATGCAGGCCTGGACTGTGGAGAGAGAGGCAGCATTACAACTCTGGAAGTCGCAGGAGGCACCCTACCTGCTTCTTCTTAGGGAATGTTATTGGACCTGACTCACACCTCCGAGGAGGCGGAGCCAAGCTGCTGTAATGAACCTGGGGGCGGAGTCAGGTCCGTTGTGTCCCACTGAGGGGACCGGGCCAGACTGCAACATTGCACTAAGAGGTCAGACACAGGTCAAGCCATCTAAGGGGATGGGGTCGAGCGATTGGGGAGACATTCGTGGAGGGCATCCCAGGTGTATTCCACTGAGGACGTGGTGATAGATCCTAAGGCATCTTTGTAAGAGACCACGCCTATTAGGAGGCCTAGTTAGGAGTCGTGGCAAGGCTATACTAGTCCTTTAAGGCAGCGGTCCTAACCTTTTTGGCATCAAAAACTGGTTTCGTGAAAGACAATTTTTCCACAAACGGGGGTGGGAGGGATGGTTTTGGGATGATTCAAGTGCATAGCATGGATTGTACACTTTATTTCTGCTATTATTACATTGTAATGTGTAATAAATATATGTAATATATAATGATATATGTAATATCCAATGAAATAATTATACTATTCACCAGCAGAAAACAGAAGTAGCAAATAAAATAATGAGTGGGCCACACACGACTAAGTAAGTGTTGGGTTCTGACTTAGAGCCTGTCTCCAGGTGTAGCTGTTCAATTTAAGTACATCAACTCACTTGCCACTCACTGATAGAGTTTTGATATGAGTCTGCAAGCAATTGCTTTATTATGGTCTCTGTACAGTCAAACCTCACTGCTAATGTTAATCTGTATTTGCAGCCACTCGCCAGCATTAGCATCACTGCCTGAGCTCCACCTCAGATCATGAGGCATTAGATTCTCATAAGGAGCACATAACCTAGATTCCTTGCGTGCATAGTTCACAATAGGGTTTGGGATCCTATGAGAATCTAATGCCACCACTCAGGCAGTAAAACAAGTGATGGGGAGTGACTGTAAATACAGATGAAGATTCACTTGCTTGCCGCTCACCTCCCACTGTGCAGCCCAGTTCCTATCAACTGGTACTGGTCCATGGCCAGGAGTTGGGGACCCTTGCTCTAAGGGGGTCCATTTGGAAAGGAAACATTTCAGAGTGCACAGGAACCAGACACAGGAACCCAGAAAGACAACTGGGCTAGTCTGGGTCAGGAATATTCCCAGACAGGTCCTAGCTTGAGAGGAGACTTTCCGCCGAAGAGGTGGGGCCAAATCTAGAATGGTCCAAGCTGGGGAAGAGTAACCTACCACGGTCTGCAGTCCAGAGATTGGAGCAAATGGGGATTGTGGGAATAGGGTTATTTCTAATTTTGTGTGTGTCAGAGGGAGGGGGGAGAGATAGAGTCTATGTTACCTTCTTTAAGCTGCATAATGACCTTCTTCATTTTCTCTGCAGCATCGGGGAAGGCAACCTTGAAGGACCCTGTAGGGTGCAGGGGGGGGCCTTTGTAGTAAAGGTGGCCTAGTTTCACAGGACTCGCTGTCATGGTGTCTGTGTCTGCCCCTTCCTCAGCCCCTCTCCACCTCTATTCTCCTGTTCACACATCCTCTGTTCTCCTCACCTCCTCCCACCCTGTCTACTGTGAAGGCTGACAAGTCTCCGGCTTTCTTCTGCCTCCCGAGTCTCTCCAGGATGGAAACCCTCCTCCGCATCATCTGCATGTATCTTGGTGGAGAAAAAAGGGAGAATAAAGATCTCCCTTTGTGGGGTTCTCCAAATTTTTCACCAAGGTCTCCTAGATCCTACATGGTTAGTCCTAATTCCTCCTCCCACTCCATTCCATCCCTACTACCCACCTTTTATTTTCCTTAAGATGAAAAGAACCACATACCCTATCACCCCAGAGCCTTTGCATGTGTGGGCTTCTGTTTCCAGCACATCTTTTCCCCTACTCCTAATCATACTTCATGTCCTGCACCTCAAGTGTCACCTTCTTAAGGGTTTTCCATCACCACAAATTAATTGTTTCCTGTTTTTGTCTTTCATACACAGAGGACTCCCCCCAAAAAATGGATTTATAAAAAATTGTGTATTTATTCTTACATGTTTAAATTTCAGTCACCTTCAAAGTACTCTCCATTTGATGCAGTACACCTATTGAGATGCTTTTTCCACTGCTGAAAACACTTTTTTTTTGAACTCATCAATTTTGATACCCATTAGTGCTTCTGCTGTTTTTGTTTCACCTCTTCCACATCAGCAAAACATTTTCCTCTGATAACTTTTTTCATCCAGAGTGGGTAAAAAAGTCACCCGGGGTGAGACTGGGTGAATAGGGAGGGTGGAGCACCAGGGTCATGCCATTTTTTTGTCATAAACTGATGAATACTCAAGTGTGGTATAGGTAGGTTGTTTGTGAAAATCATTCATCATGAAATGGGCAAGTATGTTGAAAAAAATCCTTTAAAAAACCCCAAATTCACTGAAGCTGAACACAGCCTCTCACAGTAATGCTAGCTGGTACACAGTAATGCTAGCTGGTACGCTGATAGATTCTTAGAACATTTACCTAATGGGGGAAACCTGTACTACAAGGGGCTTTCCCTCCAAAAGATAATTCTGCTTTTTGGGGATCCCCCTCATAGTGTCTCATTCACTATTTCGTTCAGATTTTACTAGTTTGCAACTTCATTTTATACATATAATAAAGGGAGGGAACTGCAGATCCTGCTGAGAGACTGGCTGAAGAAACGAATCGATGGAGAGAGAGTGAGAGAGAGAGAGAGAGAGAAGAGAGAGAGAGAAATTTCAATCTCTCTTAAGTAAATAAACATGTCCTTTAGCACTGTGTCCTCAGAATCCAGGAGACGGCCCCGAGTCTCGGAAAGTGCTCAGTAAGTGTGTATAGAATGAGTTCCAAGCTCCAACTGGAATTGAGATCCCAACTGGTGGCCTATGGCACAAATCCATTCCTTGGATGTGTTATATTTGGCCTGGAATGTGTTTAAAGGAAAATGAACTGGCTGCCAACATATAAAATTTGGGAGAGTCACATAAAATGCTTGGCATTCCTTTAAAAATAAAATTAGAAGAGCTGTAACACAGAGATCGCATTTCCGTAAGGCAGCAATTACTTGGAGTTGGTAGCAGCCACTCCCTTAACACAGTGCACACTCCGGCCACTTCTCCATAATCCTCAGCCTTTCCTTTATTCATTTCTACCTACTCCTTCTCTTTCACTCTTTTATGTTCTCTGTCTTTGTGGGTGTTTGGGTTTTGACCATTGTATTGACCTCCAAATGATCGGGTTTTGTGGCATTTTCCAGTGGACAAAAAGAAAGTTGACAGCTGGCCTGATCTCTTGGTGGTTTCGGAAATCAAAAATGTGACTGGGTGTTATGGGCTGAATTGTGTTACCTCCAATTGATATGTTGAAGTCCTAACTTCCAGTACCTCAGAATAGAACTGTGCTCGAAAGTAGGGTTCTTGAAGAGGTAATTAAGTTAAAATGAGGTCATATGGGTGGGTTCTAATCCAATATGATTGGTGTCCTTGTAAGAAGTAATTATATGAGGAAATTAGGACACAGATACGCACACAGTGAAGACGTTGTGAGGACACAGGGAGAAGACAGCATCTACAAGCCAAGGAGACAAGATTGACAAGAAACCAACCCTGCCAATACCGAAACCTCGATCTCCAACTTCTGGTCTCCAGAACTGTGAAAAAATATATTTTTGTTGTTTGATCCCCCCAGTCTGTGGTACCTTGTTTACAGTTGCCCTAGCAAACTAATAAACAGGGATTATCAGTTGCCTGCAAATATCTATATTTTCTCTTTAATAACAGAGAATATGAGTATGTTTCCTTGGCCGAAAGACTTCATTCCCTGGTTTTCCTTGCAGTTAGTTGTGGTCATAGGACCAAATTGTGACCCTAAGATGTTAGCATAAGTGTTCTATGTGAGTCACAGGAAGTAGCCTTAAATGGGAGGTGGTGCTGTGCCTGTAATTCTAGCTAGTGGGGAAGCTGAGGTGGAAGGAATGCTTCAGGCCAGGAGTTCAAGGCCAGCCTGGGCAACATAGCAAGTCCCTGTCTCTAAAAAATTTTTAAAAAGAATAATAAGCTGGGTATGGTCACATGCACCTTTGATCCCAGCTACACCCGGAGACTGAGGTGAAAGAATGCCTGAGGTCCAGGAGTTTGAAGCTGCAGTGAGCTATGGTTGTGCCACTGCACTCCAGCATAAGCAACAGAGCAAAATCCCACCTCTAAAAAACAAACAACAACAAAAAAAGGAAGGTGGTGTCATCTTACTGATCCCTTCCCTTTCTTCCATCCTGCTGCCTGAAACTTTGTTTTGATGCCTCAACTCTAGCAACCATGCAGGACCATGATGACAAGGAGTATGCCACTATGATGGTGGAGCAGAAAGCTGGAAGGAGCTTGGGTCCCCAAGAAAATGAAGGTGCCACATTAGCCTTAAGTGCCTGCCCCAAGACTTATTTTATATGGCAGAAATAAATTTCTAATTTGTTTAAGGCACTGCAGGGGTGGGAAGGGGTTCTTCTGTGATTTAAAGCCATACAAAAAAGGGAGGGAACTGTGGATCCTGGTGAGAGAGTGGCTGAAGCGATGATCACTGGTATACACTTGGAGAGAGGGAACACGAAACACTGAAGCCAAGAAGTTGGCTCAAAATGAGGGATCAAGGACTTAGAGGTCTCTCCTTGGCCACAGAGCAGGAGTGTGGTCTCCAGATGGCGGGATGGTCAGGAGGATGTGGTCAGAGTGGGGTGCTCAAATGAGAGACCGGGATGTTGGAGGAGTCACCCACAGAATATCCATGGGCCAAACCAAATGACTCAAGGGGTGAGCGTGGGATATACCAAGTCAGCCATGGTGGAGGTGGGTTTATATATCTAGTAAACCGTGGGAGTATGGATGGAGCTAGATGTTCCCAACAGGCCAAGGGGCATGGGTTACATGAAGCGGACCATAAGGAGGCGCGGGTGGATGTTAAAGTCTCCTCCCAAAAGCTGCATATGGTTGGGAGCTATGATTCTGCTTGATATCATCTAGGTTGAAGTCCTGGTCATTTTCAATGTGAGCACAGGGGCCTCTCTCCTCGTGACCTTGGCCGGATGACTTAACCTTTCTGATCCTCAGTTTCCTTGTTCATAAAATGGGGACAATAGTAGTGTGTGCCTCACCGGATGGGGGCCAGGGAGGAGGATGAAACGCCACTACAACCTAAAAGCATCCTTGTCCCAAACTCAAAAGCACCATTTCATGACTGTATGAGATGATGTCTGCAAGTGTTTAGAATGCTGTCTGGCACACAGTGCTAGAGAAGGTGGGCGACAATTACTACCAAGTTTGAGATGGGGAAACTGAGGTATAGAGAGATCAGGAAAGCGGTCCAAGGTGACAGGAACCCATCTGAGCCTAGGTGGCGGGGCTCCGTGGCCTACACATTCATCGATGCATGAGGTGTACTGCTCTTCTTTCTGTACTATACCAGGCACGCCATGGCTTATGTATACAAACAGGATCACCAAGAGGTAACCGTAAATCACTCCTCCACCTCCTCATCCTCTATCTGGGAGGGACTTGAAAGTCATCCTTGGCCAAGTGTGATGGCTCATGCCTGTAATCCCAGGACTTTGGGAGGCCTAGGTTGGAGGACTGCCTGAGCCCAGAGCTCAAGATCAGCCTGGGCAACATGGTGAAAGCTCATCTCTATAAAAAAATAAAATAAAAAACTGGCTGGGCATGGTGGTACATGCCTGTAGTCCCTGTTACTCGGGAGGCTAAGATGAAAGGATCAGTCTGAGGCCAGGCTGTGGTGCGCCATGCTCATGACACTGCATTCCAGCCTGCGTGACAGAGTGAGAACCTGACTCAGCAAGATTAAAAAAAAAAATCATCCTTGATTTTTCCCTTCCCGCCACCCACATATATCTTGTAAGTGGGGCTACAAAACCCTGCCTCAAGGGGTGGTCCGAGGGTGCCCTTTAGAAGGGTAAGTCACACGACACAGCCTCCCACATGCTCGGGGTGGGTCTGGCACACAGTCAGTCCTCCTGCCCCATGCTCTCAGTTCAGACCTTATCTGTGACCCCTTGAACACTGCTGCTGGTCCGAGCCACCACTGTCCGCTTCTCACTGGTCTGCCTCTGCCTGGGCCCCACGTGAGATCTCTTTAAATCCAAACTCAGATCCTGTCTCTGCATGAAATTCTTCATAGCTCCCCCATTTCAAGAGCAAAAGACGAGAGTCATTTTAAGAGCCTGAAGCGGCGATTCTCAAGATGTGTTCCTAGACCAGTATCATCAGTGTCGCCTGGGAACTTGATTGACATGCCCATTTTTGGAGCCTACCTCAGATCTATAGATCAGACACACAGGGTAGGGCCCAGCAATCTGCATTTTAACAAACTCCCAGGGGATTCTAATGTACACTGGGGCTTGAGAACCACCGATCTATGAGAACCCATGGGAAGTGGCCCATTGCTACCTCTCTGGTTTCAAATCCACTGTAGCCACACTAGCCTCAGGGCCTTTGCACTGGCTCCTCCCTGGCCGAAAACTCTCCCCAGATTATCTGCATGGCTCCTACAGTCACCTTGTCTTTGCTCAACTGGATCTTCTCATTTCCACCTCCCCTGACCAACCTATTTAAAATTGCCACTCAGGCCGGACATGGTAGCTCATGCCATATTCCCAGCACTTTGGGAGGTGAGAGGATTGTCTGAATCCATGGATTTTAAATCAGTCTGGGCAACTTGGCAAGACCTCATCTCTACAATAAATCAAAAAATTAGCCAAGCGTGGTGGCTCATGGTGGTTCCAGCTACTTGGAAGGCTGAGGTGGGAGGACTGTCAGAGCCCAGCAGGTCGAAGGTGCCGTGGCTGTGAGTGTGCCACTGCACTCCAGTCCGGGCAACAGAGTGAGACTTCAACTCAAAAAAAAAATGGTTACTCTATTTCCTTCTCCTTCTGTTTTCCTCCATGACACGGATCACCAAGCGACATACTTTTACTGATTGTATTTCTTGTCAGTCTCCCTTCACTCCACCCCCAATATAAGCAACCTGATGAAAGGTGGTTTGCAGTTTTGGTCACAGCTGTGTCCCCAGCACTATTCCTGGCACAATCAATATCTGTTGAATGTATTGCACCAGCTTCTCCCAGCCTCCAAACTCTCCCTCTGGTCCATTCCCCACATGGCCCGAGGGCTTTTTCTACACCCAGAGCTGACCCTGCCCCACCCCTGCTCACAACCCTCCCATGGCTCCCTAGTGCCCTCAGGGTAGAGTCTTCAGTCTCCCTAATTTTCAGCTGAAATTTGCACCCAGGTATCTGGCTGCCGCTCTGTGCCCCCTCACGGTCACTACGTCCTAACACAGTTTATAATCTGCCCCTGCTCCCAAGTGATTCCATCTCCCAGGTTCGTCATATCTGAGATTGTCCATGGTTCTGGGTCTCAGGCACTGTCACCTAACACTTCTGCCTTGCTCCTCCCAAAACAGCCCAGCAGACTCTGGCTCATCCCTCCCGGACTCCTCTTCTCCACCTTCACAGTCCCAGCTCCCCTCTGGCCTAGGCTCTCATCCTGGTCTCCTCTCTCCCATCTAAGTCCCACATGCAGCCCTACAGAGGGTTTCCACTCTGGATCTAATCCTTCCTGGTCTTTTTTTGAGTTGGGGTTTCATTCTATCTCCCAGGCTAGAAAGCAGTGGCATGATCATGGCTCACCGCAGCCTCCACCTCCTGGGCTCAGGTGATCCTCCAGCTTCAGCCTCCTGCGTAGCTAGACTACAGGCACATGCAACTGTACCCAGCTTTTTAAAAAAAAATTGTATAGAAACGAGGTCTTGCTATGTTGCATAGGCTGGTCTCAAACTCCTGGGCTCAAGCAATTCTCCTGCTCTGGCCTCCCAAAGTGCTGAGATTATAGGTGTGAGCCACAGCACCTGGTCCCTGATCTTTGTAAGACAACCCATGTGGGTAGAAATAGCATTTCCTGGAATCCTGCCCCTGCCAGTCCAGTTCTTAAGCTCCTCAGGTCTCCCTCTGGGGTGACCCACAGTGGAAACCTCCAGGCTGGCCCTGGACACCCCCAGGAGGAATGGGAATGTCCCTCCCTTTGACGAAAAGCTTGATGGGCAAGTTCAGGAAATAAAATAAAAAAACAGCAGATGCAGGATGAAGCCCTGAGCTCCTGGTCCTAAGAAGTGCCAGTTTACCCTAAAGCACAGGGGTAGACTCTATGGCCTCCCCACCGGCCCTCCGACTCTCCACAATTCCAGTCTCTGGGGGCTGTGATCAAGGTGACCTGGGTGATCACTGCTAAGGTTGCCCATCCGCCACAGGTGTCCCCCAGCCCTGATGTCCCGCCACGGGGCCATTCGTGTGTCTCACTCACCCCAAGGTTGTCACGTGTCCCTATCTTGCCAGGACAGTTACACCCCGTCTCTCTTCACAGTTGTCACCTGATTGATCCCTTTGGCTATTCCTATTTTCCCAACCCCTAATAACCTCACACATCAAAATATGGAATCATTGTATATATTTATAACATATATGTATATATAAAGAGAGGAAGAGAGGATGAAAAAAGTATACATGCTTTAAGAAAGAAACAAATTGTATTAAAATTGTAATACTCAATAAGATAAACACAAGACATGTTTGACTTCTGCAAGTACAAGAGGTGCTCAAAGTGGTTCCCATCAGTATCCAGATGCTTCTGATTATGGCAAACTAAAAGTAACATATAGATAACATCTCTTAGAATGTGAGACTGCAGCCGGGTGTGGTGGCTCAAGCCTGTAATCCCAGCACTTTAGGAGGCCGAAGTGATAGGATTACCTGAGCTCAGGGGCTTGAGATGAGCCTGGGCAACTTGGCAAGATCTTGTCTCTACAATAAATAAAAAAATAAGCCAGGCATGGTAGCGTGTACTTGTAATTCCAGCTACTTGGAAGTCTGGGACGGAAGGATCACCAGAGCCCAGCAGGTCGAGGCTGTGGTGGTCTTGAGCATGCCACTGCACTCTAGACTGGACAAAAGAGTGAGACTCCAAATCAAAAATTTAAGAAAAATTAAAAAATAAAAAAAGCCGTGCGTGGTGGTGTGAGCCTGTAGTTCCAACTACTTGGAAGGCAGAAGGATCACTTGAGTCCAGCAGGTTGAGGCTGCGGTGACTGTGAGCATGTCACTGCACTCCAGCCTGGGCGACAGAGTGAGACTCCAACTCAAAAAAAAAAGTCTCAGCAAAGGTGAGAGGATTGCCTGAGCCCACGCATTCAATACCCTCCTGGCAACTTGGCGAGACTTCATGATTACAATAAATAAAAATATTAGCTGGGTATGGTAGCACGCACTTGTAGTTCTAGCTACTTGGAAGGATGAAGCAGAAGGATCGCCTAAGCCCAGCAGGTGGAGGCTGCAGTGGCCATGAGCATGCCAGTGCCCTCTAGCCTAGGTGATAGAGTGAGACTCCAACACACACACACACACAAAATGTGTACACATTTTTTTTAGCACCTGATGTGTGTGTGTTCCAGCCTCATCAGACAACCTCCATGTGACCTCCCCATCCCCACTCGACTGAACTCCATGCCCATCCTGGGAGGCAGTAAGATTGATACACTTTACGGGTGGTTAAATGGAGGCCCGGATAAACATTCAGAACATCCAGAACTTCAGGGCCAGGAATAGAGTGAGCCATACAGCCAGGATAGAAGCCACGTCTACCCGGTGCTATCTGGACCTCTGCCTCTAGGTTATTTCTGCAGTATTCTGTCCCTCCGGGCCTCTGCCCTTGGCTCTGAGAGCTGCCTCCAACCTTTTCCTTGACAAAGAACTTAGCTCACACAGCCTCTCTGATTGCTGTGAGCTCTGGGGGCTCCTTCCTGTGCCCCACAGCCTCCCACAGGATCATCTCTGGGGGCTCCACGTCCACATCTCCCATTGCTCGCGTCCCCCACTCACCCTGGGCAGCTGCGAGCTCCTGGAGCGAGTGTGTCATCTGCGTGAAGGCGTCATGCAAGTGGCTTCTCTCCTCGTAGTCTGGTGGGGAGGGAGGGCACAGGGGTTTAGCAGGGAGGTCCCATGAACAAAGCCCAATGAGAGCATTCTTGGTCTCTGCCCCCCAAGCTCTATGATACCTCTCCTGAGTCTGTGCCCCCAAACAGACTCCATCTTACCTCTCCCTGTCTCCCAACCTGCAGTCTCTGTCCACCGTTCCCTGAGTCTCAGACTCTTTAGGCCTCTATCCACTCTTTCAATATCTCTGCCACCCCCAGTCTCCATCCTCGCTAAGTCTCCCCTACAAGTCACTATCCTCTCTTAGTCTCTCCTTCGCTATTCTCCATCCTCCCTATGTCTCTGCCTCCCAGTCTCTATCTTTCCTAAATCTCTGCCACCACCCATCTCTATCCTCCCTAAGTCTCACTTTCCCCGGTTTCTATCCTCCCAAGTCTCTCCTAATCAGGGTTCTATCCTCCCTAAGTCTTTCCTCCCCCAGTCTCCATCCACCCCAAGTCTCTCTTCCCCCAGTCTCCAGCCTTCCTAAAATTCTCTTCCTCCAGTCTCCATCCTTTCAAAGTCTCTCCTCACCCAGTCTCTATCCTTCCTACGTCTCTCCTCCCCCAGTCTCCCGTCTCCCTAAGGCTCTACTCCCCAGTCTCCATCCTCCCTAAGATCTCCTCCCCCAGTCTCCATCCTCCCTAAGTCTCTCCTCCCCCACTCTATATCCTCCCTAAGATTCTCCTCCCCCAGCCTCTATCCCCCCTAAGATTCTCCTCCCTCATTCTCCATCCTCCCTAAGACTCTCCTCACCCAGTCTCTACCCTCCCTACGTCTCTTCTTCCCAGTCTCTATCTTCCTTACATCTCTTCTTACCCCAGTCTCCATCTTCCCCAAGATTCTCCTCCCCCAGCCTCTATCCTCCCTAAGATTCTCATCCTCCATTCTCCATCCTCCCTAAGTCTCTCCTCCCCCAGAGTCCATCCTCTCTAAGATTCTCCTCCCCGTCTCCATCCTCCCTAAGTCTTTCCTCTTGCAGTCTCTATCCTTCCTAAGAATCTCCTTCCCCAGTCTCGATCCTCCCTAAGTCTCTTCTTCCCCAGTCTCTATTCTCCCTGCATCTCTTTCTCCTCAGTTTCTATCCTCCTTGCATCTCTCCCTCCCCCAGTCTCCATCCTTCCAAAGTCTCTCCTCCCTAGTCTTTATCCTCCATAAGTCTATCCTCCCCCAGTCTCTAGCCTCCCTAAGGTTCTCTTCCCGAGTCTCCATCCACCCTAAGTCTCTCTTCACCCAGTCTCCATCTTCCCTAAGACCCTCCTCCCCCAGTCTCTATCCACCCTAAGACAATCTTCCACCAGCCTCTATCCTCCTTAAGACTCTCTTCCCCATTCTTTATCCTCCCTAAGTGTCTCATCCTCCAGTCTCCATCCTCCCTAAGACTCTGCTCCCCTAGTCTCTATCCTCCCTAAGTCTCTCCTCCCCCATTCTCCATCCTCCCTAAGTCTCTCCTCCCCTGGTCTCCATCTTCTCTATGACTCTGCTCCCCCGGTCTCCATCCTCCCTAAGACTCTCCTCCCCAGTATTCATCCTCCCTAAGACTCTCCTCCTCTGCTTTCCATCCTCCCTAAGTCTCTCCTTCCCAGTCTCTATCCTCCCTAAGTTTTCCTACCTCAGTCTCCATCCTCCCTAAGACTCTCCTCCCCCAGTCTCCAGCCTCCCTAAGCATCGCCTCCCTATTCTCCAACCTCCCTAAGTCTCTCCTCCCCCAGTCCCATCTTCCCTAACACTCTGCTCCCCCAGTCTCCATCCTCCCTAAGACTCTCCTCCCCAGTCTCCAGCCTCCCTAAGACTCTCCCCCCCAGTCTCCAGCCTCTGTAAGACTCTCCCCCCTCATCTCCATCTTCCCTAAGATTCCCCCCAGTCTCCATCCTCCCTAAGACTCTCTTCCCCCAGTCTCCAACCTCCCTACGACTCTGCTTCCCCGTCTCCATCCTCCCTAAGACTCTCCTCCCCACTCTCCATCCTTCCTAAGTCTCTTCTACCCAGTCTCTATCCTCCATAAGTTTTCCTTCCTCAGTATCCATCCTCCCTAAGTCTCTCCTCCCCCAGTCTCCATCCTCCCTGTCTCTCCTCCCCAGTCTCTATCCTCCCAAAGACTCTCCTCCCCCAGTCTCTATCCTCTTTCCCCAGTCTCCAGTCTTCCTAAGATTCTCCTCCCCAGTCTCCATCCTCTGTACGTCTCTACCCCATCCTCCCTAAGACTCTCCTCCCCCAGTCTCAATCCTTCCTAAGTCTCTCCTACCCCATCTCCATCCTCTCTAAGACTCTCCTCCCCCATTCTCTATCCTCCCAAAGCTCTCCTCCCCAGTCTCTATCTTCCCCAGTCTCTATCCTCCCTAAGACTCTCCTCCCCCAGTCTCTATCCTCCTCCCCCAGTCTCCAGTCTTTCTAAGATTCTCCTCCCTCAGTCTCCATCCTCCCTAAGTCTCTCCTACCCCATCCCCATCCTCCCTAAGACTCTCCTTCCCCAGCCTCATCCTTCCTAAGTCTCTTCCCCCAGTCTCCATCCTCCCTAAGACTCTCTTTCCGTAGTCTCTAGCCTCCCTAAGATTCTCCTCCTCCAGTCTCCATCATCCCTCTCTCCTCCCCCAGTCTCTAGCCTCCCTAAGACTCTCCTCCCCAGTCTCTAGCCTCCCTACATCTCTTCCTCCCCCATTCTCTATCCTCCATAAGTCTCTACTGCCCCAACCTCTATCCTTCCTAACTTTCCTCTCCCAGTCTATCTTTTCCCTAAGTCCCCACCTCCCAGGCTTTAATCATCCCAAGTCTCTGCTTGCCAGACTGCATCCCCCCCAAGACACTACTTCTCCACATCTCAATCCTCCCTAAGACTCACCTCCCCCAGTCTCTATCCTCCCTAGGACTCAAACTCCACCATTCTACCTCCTCCCTTTGTCTCTGCCTCCCAGTCTCTATCCTTCACCCATCTCTACTCTCCCTAAGTCTCACCTTCCCTGGTTTCTATCATCCAAAGTCTCTCCTACCCTGGGCTCTATTCTCCCTAAGTCTCTGCCACCCAGTCGCTATCATCCCTAAGTCTCTCCTTTCCTGGTCTCTATCCTCCATAAATCTCTCTTCCCCTAGTCTCTAGCCTCCCTAAGATTCTCCTACCCAGTCTCCATCCTCCAGGAGTCTCTCTTATCCCAGTTCATAACTTCCCTATGTGTCTCCTTCCCAAGTCTCTATCCTACCTGAGTCTCTCCTCCCCCAGTCTCCATCCTCCCTAAGATTCTCCTCCCCAGTCTCTATCCTCCCTAAGTCTCTACTTGCCCAGTCTCTATCCTCCCCACCTCTCTTCCTCCTCTAGTTTCTATCCTTCCTACATCTCCCCTCCCCCAGTCTCCATCCTCCCTAAGACTCTCCTTCCCCGGTCCATATCTACCCTAAGACACTCCTTCCCTACTCTCTAGCCTCCCTAAGATTCTTCGACCCCAGTCTCTATCCTCTCTAAGACTCTCCTCCTCCATCTCTATCCTCTCTAAGACTCTTCTCCCCCAGTCTCTAGCCTCCCAAGGACTCTCCTCCCCCAGTCTCTAGCCTTTCTATGTCTTTTCCTCCCCCAGTTTCTGTCCTCCCTAAATCTCTCCTCCCTCAGTCTCCAGGCTCCCTAAACTCTCCTCCCCCAGCCTCTATCCTCCAAGATTCTCCGACTCCAGTGTCTATCCTCTCTGAGACTCTCCTCCCCTAGTCTCTAGCCTCCCAAAGACTCTCCTCCCCCAGTCTTCAGCCTCTCTACATCTCTTCCTCCCCCAATCTCTATCCTCCCTAAGTCTCTCCTCCCCCAGTCTCCTACCTCAGTCACTATCCTCCCTAAGACTCTCCTCCCCCAGTAACTATCTTCCCTAAGACTCTTCTCCCTTAGTCTCCATCCTACCTGTCTCACCTCCCCCAGACCCTATCTTCCCTAACACTCTCTTCCTCCAGTCTCCAGCCTCCCTAAGTCTCTACTACCCCAGTCTTCATCCTTCCTAAGTCTCTCCTCCCCAAGTCCATCCTCCCTAAGATTCTCCTCCCCAGTTCCCATCATCCCTAAGTCTTTGCTACCCCAGTCTCCATCCTCCTTAAATCTCTCCTCCCCCAGTCTCCAACCTCCCTAAGACTCCCCTCCCCAGTCTCTATTCTCCCTAAGTTTCTCCTCCCACTGTCTCCATCTTCCCTAACACTCTCCTCCCTCAGTCTTCATCCTCCCTAAATCTCTCCTCCTGCAGTCCCCATTCTCCCTCAGATCTCCTCTCCAGCCTCCCTAAGACTTTCCTCCTCCAGTCTCCAACCTCCCTAAATCTCTTCTACCCCAGTGTCCATCTTCCCTAAGATTCTCCTCCCCCAATCTCCATCCTCCCTAAGTCTTTCCTCCCCAGTCTCCAGCCTCCCTAAGACTCTCCTCCCCCAGTCTCCATCCACCCTAAGATCTCCTCCCCATCTCCATCCTGTGTAAGTCTCTCCTACTCCAGTCTTCATCCTCCCTAAGACTCTCCTCCCCAGTCTCCATCCTCCTTAAGACTCTCCTCCCCCAGTCTCTATCCTCCCTAAGATGTTCCTTCCCTAGACTCTAGCCTCCCTAAGATTCTCCTCCCCCCAGTATCCATCATCCCTGTTTCTCCTCCCTCAGTCTCTATCCCAAGACTCTCCTCCCCCAATCTCCATCCTCCTTAAGTCTTTCCTACCCCAGTCTCCATCCTCCCTAAGATTCTCCTCCCCCAGTGTCCATCATCCCTAAGTCTCTCCTACCCCAGTCTCTCAGCCTGTATCCCGTGCCTTTGGGAGGCTGAGGTGAGTGGATTGCCTGAGCCTATGGGTTCGAGACCCGCATGGGCAGCAAGACCTCATCTCTACCATAAATAAAAGAAATCAGCCGGGCATGGTAGTGCATGCCTGTAATTCCAGTTACTTGGAAGGCTGAGGCGGAAGGATCGCCAGAACCCAGCAGGTCGAGGCTGCGGTGGCCGCTCCAGTCTGGGCGACAGAGTGAGACTCCAACTCAAAAAAAAAAAAAAAAAAAGAATTTCTTACCAGTCTCCATCCTCCCCAAAATTATCCTCTCCCAGTCTCCATCCTCCCTAAGTCTCTCCTACCCCAGTCTCTATCCTAAGACTGTTCTCCCCCAGTCTATCCTTCCTAAGATTCTCCTACTGCAGTCTCCATCCTCCTTAAGACTGTCCTTTCCAGTCTCTATTCTCCCTACATCTCTCCTCCCCCATTCTCCAGTCTCCCTGTGTCTCTTCTCCCCCAGTCTATCCTCCCCAAGACTCTCCCCCCTAGTGTCTATCCTTCCCAAAACTCTCCTCTCCCAGTCTCTATCCTCCCTAAGTCTCTCCTCCCCCAGTCTCCATCCTCTCTAAGTGTCTCCTCCCCCAGTATCCCTCCTCCCTAAGTCTCTCCTCCCCAGTCTCTAAACTCCCTAAGCTTCTCCTCCCCCAGTCTCAATCCTTCCTAAGATTCTCCTCCTCCAGTTTCCTTCCTCCCTAAGTCTCTCCTACCCATGTCCATCCCCCCTAAGACTCTCTTCTCCCAGTCTCCAACCTCCCTAAGATCTCCTCCCCCAGTCTCCAACCTTCCTAAGTCTCTCCTACCCATCCCCATCCTCCCTAAGATTCTCCTTGCCCAATCTCTGTCCTTCCTAAGTCTCTTCCCCATCTCCATCCTCCCTAACACTCTCCTTCCCTAGCCTCTAGCCTCCCTAAGATTCTCCTCCCCCAGTCTCCATCCTAAGTCTCTCCTACCCCATCTCCAACTCCCCTAAGAGTCTCCTGCCCCAGTCTCCATCCTCCGTAAGATGCCCTCCCCAGTCTCCATCCTCCCTAAGTCTCTCCTACTCCATCCCCATTCTCCCTAAGTCTCTCCTCTCAGTCTCCATCCTCCCTAAGACTCTCCTTCCCTAGTCTCTAGCCTCCATAGATTCTCTTCCCCCAGTCTCCATCATCCCTAAGTCTCTCCTCCCCCAGTCTCTATCATAAGACTCTCCTCCCCCAGTCTCTAGCCTCCCTACATCTCTTCCTCCCCCATACTCTATCCTCCATAAGTCTCTTCTCCCCCAACCTCTATCCTTCCTAAGACTCTCCTCTCCCAATCTATCTCCTCCCTAAGTCCCTGCCTCCCAGGCTTTATCCATCCCAAGTCTCTGCTTGCCAGACTGCATCCCCCCTAAGACTCTACCTCTCATCATCTCTATCATCCATTACTCTCTCCACACCCAATCTCTAGCCTACAAGTTTTTCTTCCCGAAGACTCTATCCTCCCTAAGTCTTCCCTTCACCAGTCTATATTCTAAGTCTCTCCTATCCTAAGTCTCTATGACCCCTCACACCCCAGTCGTCATCCTCCTCTCTATCCCCAGTCACCATACTCCTCTCTTCTGAGTCTATATCCTCCACTCCAGTCAGTCTCTACCCTCCCCACCCCTCAGTCTCTACCCTTCCCACCCCCAGGCTATACCCTCCTTTCCCCTCAGTCTCTACCCTCCCCACCCCTCAGTCTCCACCTTCCCCTCCCCCCAGTCTCTACCCTCCTGTCTCCCCTCAGCCTCTATCCTCCCCTGTGTCTCCACCCCTCTCTGACTCTGTGATGGTTTCTGTCTCTAAGTATCTTCCACTTTTCTGTCTCTCAGTCTTTCTCCCCTGGTCCTGAGTGTTTGTCTGTGCTTCTGTTTGTCCCTCTGCTGGGTCTCTGGGTCTCCCTGGTGCCTCCTTTTCACCCTCCCCAGACCCTGGTGGAGCCTGGATGGGCTCTCACTGATCTCGGTGTCTGACAGGCCCCCAAAGGCCGCCGTGAAGGCCTCCTCACACTCCTCGAGCTTGGGGCCCTCCACGCCGGCAAACATCCGGCAGATGCGGAGGCGCTCGGAAGAGGTTGTGAAGCAGAGGAGACAGGCCCAGGCGGGCACCCTCAACATGGCAGCGAGGGCTAGCAGGGCAGTGGGGCTGGTGCTGGCTGGGACCCGCAGGGCCATTTCCAAGGGACTGGAACCCTGGGGAAAAGCTGGTGACCTTTGTGAGGTCACCACAGGGCAGGATCAGTTCCAACGGTCTGGGGTCAGAGGTCCAGTTTCAGTTGCAGGTCCCAGGCCCAGCTCTGGAGGACAGGTGTGTGGGGTCAGGGGTCAGGCGTCAGGCCAGCCATCCCCAAGCCTGTGGTTGGGCCGGACGCCGGGCTCCCAAGAACCTCACCTGTGACCCTGGAAGTTCTCACAGGTTAAAGGGTCTCAGGGACCCAGAGGCCGGCGATTGTGACGTGAGGTGGCCGTGACTGTGATGCGTGGTGGCCACGACAGGCCCCGGGGTGGGGGGTGGGCGTGGAGGTCAGAGACGGAAGAGGGCAGGGAGACACTCTGAATGCCGGGAGACACAAAGACCAACACAGACAAGGATGGAGACACGGGGCACTATTGGAAGAGACAGCCACCCAGAGAACTACACTAGGAGAGAAGGAAGCAGACTCCTAGACACCACTGTGCAGAAAGAGTGCGACATGGAAACCAGAGAGAGAAGGGACAGGGATGGAGAGGCAGGTGGAGATGCAAAATGAACTTCTTCATGAGAGAGAAACTCTTCAGGAAAAAAAGGGCAAGGAGAAGAAGCAGGGACCAGGACAGAAAGACAGCGCGGTTCCGCCACCCAGGGTCCCTGGGGCAGCTGTTAAGGGGCTGGGGGTCCCCGCCGGGCCCCGTCCCGTGCAGGGCGCAGCCTGGGGAAAGCTAGGAGGCCGTATAGTGATCTCCTTGGGTGTCCTCCTCAACTATACAACCTCCTACCTCAGCCCGGGGGGCGCGGCAGGTGGACAGACCCGACAGACAAACAGACGGGGGCCAGGAGGGCCAGGGAGGGTGAGGAGGGCCGGAGAGGCCCCAGCCGAGATGGTGAGCCCCCGACACGGACCCACAGACACGAGCTTGTGTGCGGCGAAGGCCCCGCAAGGTCGGTTCTACGGGTGGGTGCCAGGACCCAGGAGTCCGGACCCCCGGCCACTCCTCCCCAAGGAACCCAGGAGTCCTGGCCCCCAGCCCCTTCCTCACCAGAGATCCAAGAGTCCAGGCCCCCAGCCCCTTCTTCACCAGGGACCCAGGAGTCCAGGCTACCAACTAGTTCCTTCCTCACCAGAGACTCAGGAGTCCAGGCCCCCAGCCCCTTCTTCTCCAAGGAACCCAGGAATCCTGTCCCCCAGCCTTTTCCTCACCAGGGACTCAGGAGTCCAGGACCCAGAATCCCCCCTCCAAGCAACCAAGGATTCCAGGCCCTCAGTCCCTTCCTCACGAGGGACCCAGTAGTTCAGGACCCAGACCCCCCTCTCCAAGGAAGGAACCAAAGAGTCCTGGTCCCCAATCCATTCCTCACAAGATACCTAGGAGTTTAGGACCCAGACTCTCCTCTCCAAGGAACCCAAGAATCCAGGCCTCTACCTAGTCCCTTCCTCACCAGAGAACCAGTAGTCCAGACTCCCAGGCCCTTCCTCACCAGGGACCCAGGAGTCCAGGCCCAGACCCTCCTCCCCAAAGATCCCCAGAATCCAGGCCCCTAACTCCTTCCTCTCTCAGACAAATGAGTCTAGGTCTACCACCCCTTTTCCCCCAGGGACCCAGGAGTTCCAGCTCCTGGCCCCATCCTCCTTCAGACCTAGAAGTCCCACCATGCAGGCCTCCTGAGGGAAGGCACAGCCTGATAGGAGTCCTGGCCTTCTGGTCCTTGGGTCACCTGTCTTAAAATCTGGTCATTGGGCACCACTGCTCCCTATCCCTATTCTGTGAGGCTGCAGAGACTCCAGGCCCAGGGCTGAGGGAGCCAGAGGACCTAAAAATTTCAAAGCCTCCCTGGATATGTTTCTCCCTATTTTCTCCCTTCTTGTGGCCTTTCGTCATTTATAACAATGATACCTATGATCCCTGAGCCCTAACACTGCACCAGGCCCTGAGCACCAGTCTTCTCTGCGGCCTCTCCTCATCCAGAGAGCTGGGTGGTCTCAGGGTCCCCATTTTGCAGGTGAGGCAGGTGGGAAGACTGGGCCTTAGACAGCAGAAACTTCGCCAAAGTCAGCCTTGTAAGTGGGAAGGGCCGTGGGACCCAGCACTCGCCTCCCCACTCCAGGGTTCAGAGCCCACCTAGCCTAGCTGGGGCCTCACCCCTTCTCCCACTGAACCCCCCCTTCCTTCTCACTGACTTGTGGCCTATGTTGTCTGTCTCTCTCTGGCCCTGCCTTTTCCTATTTCTCTCCCCCAATTCCCACCTTACCTGGTTCCCAGGCTCCTCCTGCATCTTTAAATCTCCCCCTCCCTATGCAGTGGTCTCTCCCCCCAACCCAGCCCTTTCTCCTTGCTCCCTCCTTGTTTTCTTCCCTTTCTCATTCTTTTATTCCACTTCTGTCTTTCATCCTCCCCTTCTCCTCCACTCCCCTCTTTGTCTCTCTCATTCTTTCCAGCCCTCTCTCAGTCTCTGTCTCCCTCTCTTCTTTCTCATCCTTTTCCTCCCCTTTCCTCCCCTTTCCTCCCCAACCCCCCCCAGGTCTTGCCTCACTTCCTCTCCCTCCGCCCCTCCCTTTTATTTCATCTCTCATCTCTGGTCCTCTCTCTGCCCGTCTCTGCCTCTCTCCCTGTCTCTCCGTCTTTCTCCTTCCCTCTCTTAGGTCTCTCTCTTCCCTCTCCTCCCCCTTCCCAGTCTTCCTCCCTCCTCTCTCTCTCTCTCTCTCTCTCTCTCTCTCTCTCTTTCTCCTTCCTTCTCTCCTTTCCTCTCTCCCTCCCCCTCGCAGTTCGGAGCCAGGTCTGGAGCTGGGGGTGGGGTGGGGGTGGATTGAGAAGGGGCCCAGGGCTGGGGTAGCGACCTGCTGAGGAGGGGGAGGAGAGGCGGGAAGGGGGCGGAGAAGGAAAGGGGGAGGCAGGGGCCAGAGACGGGTCTATGGTCCCAGCTCTCTTCCCCCTTCTCTCCTTCCCAACCTCCCAGACCCTCAGGCGGGGGCGAAAGTCAGGCCAAGGTGGGGAGGAAGGGGAAGGGAGGAGGCTGCCCCCGCCCCCCCCAGCCAACCTGGCGCAGAGCCCAGGCCTGGGTTCCCAGCATGCCCCGGGGCTGCCTGGGGCCTGAGGAGAGGGGGTGAGGGGAAGCTGAGAATCTTAAAGATTCCTGGGACCTGAACATGTCCCCCACCCCCCCGCCCCCCCGCCAGCGTCTCCTTAGGGAAACTGAGGCCAAGAGCGAAGGGTCAGGATTTGTTCAAGGTCACCGGACAGGGCGTTGGTGGAAACTCGAACTCCTTGGGCCCTATAAACGAGGTTTGGGGAAGGGGTAGGCGCTGGACTTCCCCCAGACCTAAGTCCTCCTCCCCCCTCTCTGCGGGCCCTGGGGAGCCCCCAAGGGTCAGAGAGCAGACCCAAACAGTCTGGCACCATGGCAACCAGTTGGCCCCGCCCCCTTAACCCCTGGAGGGCTGGACTCCAGCTGGGGCTAAAGAGGGGATGGGGACTCCTGGGTTCCGGGGAAGGAGGGGCCTGGGGGTCCCCTGAACTCCAGGCTTCGAAGGGAGAAAGATGCTAGGGGCCTGAAGGCTTAGGTTCTGGAGGAGGAAGGGGTCGGGAACCCGCGCTCCTCTGGAGGAGGGGTGGGGTCCTGAACTCTGGGGTTTTCAAAGTGGTGGGGGCTGGAATGTGGGCTCCCCGGTCTGAGCGGAAAGCACCTGGGGGCCCAGACTCCCAGATATTGGAAAAAAGGGGGGGGCGGAGGCTCGGATTTTTGGAATGGAGAGCTTGGGTGGTGGATTCCCAGGTCTGAGGGAGGAGGGGGCCGGGGCCTGGAATCCCGAGTCCCCAAGGGAGCGTGGATGCTGGGCTGGGCCTCTCCTCCGCCAGACATCCCCTGCCCCCGCCGCTGACCCTGGCCTGTCTGGCAGCCCAGACAACCTCCCCCTCCTCCTCAGCCCCCTCCCACTGGCACTGCTCACCCTTGACCCCTCAAAGCCCCGCAGCCCCATCCCTGCCCCTCCCCCTCCCCTCCAGCCAGACGTTAACCCTTCCCTTCCCGGAGGCACCTCCAAAGCCAGACTGTCTTCCTCCACCTCCCCTGAGAGCTCGGGCATCTCGCCCCAGGTTTCTTCCACCCTTCGGTCCTACCTTCCCCAGCCCCCGCCTCGGTCCTCCCTCTTGAATCCAGAAGGTCTTCCCAGCCTTCTCCAGCTTCTGGACCCCGGAATCTTCGTCCCCAGCCCCCTCCTTCAAGGATCCAGGAGTCTAGGCTCCCAGCCGCCACCTCCTCCTCCTCCAAGAACCCAGAAATCCAGATCCCCGGCTGCCTCCTCCTTCAGGGAACCCGGAATCCCGGCCCCAGGCCCCCACCCCCTCCCTTTCCGCAGACTCACGGCTCCCGCGGCTCCCGCGTCGGAGGGCAGTGGTCTTCTCTGCCGCCTGGAGCCGGCAGGCCGGGCCCCACCGCCGCCGAGTCCTCTCCATCCTCTCCCCGCCTCCGCCGCCCGGCGGCCTCTCCCCTTCCTCCCGCCGTCCCCACCATCCTCCTTGCCTCTCCCAGACTCCCTCCGGCCGGCGCCTCCTCCCCGGCTCTGCGGTCCGGGTCTCCCTCTCCCCGGACCCCGCCGGCGGCGCGGCCGTCGGACCAGCCCCCTCCCCAGGGGGCCCCCGCCCCGGCCCCTCCCCACCGCCCAGCCCAGTCCGGCCTGGCTTCCCCCCTGCCCCGGAGCTGGCCCCGGTCCAGGGGAAAAAATTCCATCCAGCCCCGGGGAGGAGGAGCGGGGCGGAGGAGGGAGCGGGGAGGGGAGGCCGGGCCAGGGGAGCATGACGCAGAGAGGAGGGAAGGGACAAAAGAGAGGCCGGGGAGGCGGGGGGCGGC